CAATGCTTTTTCTTGAATATGTGAAGGTCCCTCAGTGGGGGGCTATGTAAAGGATACAACTATCAGACCTATTCATTGCAACAGAACAATGAGAGCAACACGGTTTTCTAAAGTGCATTGGCCCCATTGCAGCCAAATGGTTTACAGAATATTGCTCTATGAAAGATGACCACTGATTGGTTAATATTGGTTACTGCACTTTGCAATCTGTCATTGCTCATTGTACTTCTTGTGATTGGACTATTTTTTAAATTGCATTTATTTGCCTATAAACATTCTCATGTATCCAGGTACAGCTAATACTAGTTAGTCACATTCAACTGGTTTTGTCCTGTAACTGAACAAGTTTTGAAGCTTAGCCAAACCACTTCTTCTGTTCTAATGAGTGTCAGTAATGTACCCAGCACAGACAGCTTAATCCAATCACCATTGAATGTGTAGATGTTGATTGTCCAAGAACAAGGTGGAAATTGTGAAAGATGTGGAACCATCCTGTTCTAGTTATATAATTCCTTCCTTGGTGTCAGGAAGTCTGCATATATGTTAATCCTTGAATTTGCATGGCTGAGGGTATTAACCACTTCCCGACCGGCCGTTGTATATAAACGGCCGGACGGTGGCACTGCAGGGTCGGGTGGCCGTCTATAAACGGCCTCCCCGCACCCTGCTTGTGCGCACTCCCTGGGACACAGTGTCCTCCGGACACAGTGAAACACCGATCGTCGGACGGGACCTCTGTACGAGGTCCCGATCATGTGATCACTGATTGGCCAATCAGTGATCACATGCAAAGTAGTAAGCAAGATGTCACTTCTGACATCATTGCTTACTATGTGTGAAATCTGTGAATGATCACAGAGGTCACATGGTACAAGGCTATTCACAAAAGCCTTGTACCATGTGACAAGCTGTGACCAATCACAGCTCACTCAGTTCTTCTCAATGAGTGCAAGAATGCACACAGAGAGAAAGAGAAATGATTGCTTTTACATCCTATATGGGTGTAAAAGCAATCAGTGTAAAAAAAAAAAAAAAAATCTTCATCACCCCTCACAAGTAGTACAGTGTCACCATGGTGACACTGTACTGCTAGGGTGACAGTATGTAAAAAAAAATAAAATAAAATAAAAAATAATATAAAAATATAAAATTAAAATGTAAAAAAAATGTTTAAAAATTATAATTTTTGCTTATAAACTAATTTGGATTTTTTTTTTTTACTAAAAAGATAACGGAATAAATTTTGGCTAAGATTTATGATGAAATATTATTTATTTGCAAAATTTTATAAAAAAAAACACTTTTTAAAAAAAATTTTTGGACATTTCATTTACATAGCAAAAAAAATACAAATCCCAGTGGTGAATAAATACCACCAAAATAAAGCTTTATCTATCTCAAAAAAATGGTAAAAAATTCATTTGCGTACAGTGTTGCATGACCGCGCAATTGTCATTCAAAGTGTGATAGCGCTAAAAGCTGAAAATTGCCCTGGTCAGGAAGGGGGTAAAAGTGTCCGGTCTGGAAGTGGTTAAAACAGCATCATATGTGGAAGACAAGTGGTGTCGCCTTCACTTCTGTTCAGAAATGGCTGTGCCAGCCTTTATCATGCCTTTTATAAAGCAGTTGCTTCCTCACTGTCCTCACTATGTTCACCTCACTGTCCTCAGAGGAATATCCAAAACCTGTCTACTGACCAGTACAGTTTGCCCTCCTGGGTTGAGCCATTTTGTTTGTTAGGTAATTTTGTCTCACTAATTTAAAAATCCTTTCATTCCTAATTACACTGCACTGAATATACATTATCTTTTTGGGTGTTGGGTCTTTGGGAGGTACAAGCATAGGAATTAGATGGCTAGTAGTAGTCAGTCACATTCAACTGGACTTGTGCTGTAATGTTGAGGATGTTTTGTAGTTTCTTGAAGTCACCTTTTTAGTTCCATTGAGTGTCATAAAGATACCCCATTAGAAGTGACTTGAAGAAGCTACGAAGTGTCCTCAACATTACAGCAGACGTCTAGTTGAAGGTCATTAACTACTACTATATGTAGCACAACCCAGCTACCTGGGAACCTCCATAGACAAGGAAGTAGATGGGATGTTTGCTGGAGGTGATTACTCAATTTCCATATATCCACCCTAGTTAACTGGCATGCGTTACCAAATTTTAAAATTCACTCAAAACTAACATTTTGTCTAAAGCCAGTCATAGATTGAGCGATTTTCTTTCCTGTAACCCATGGTTGCAGAAAAGAAAATCGTTTGGTTCCTCCATAAACACTAACTGTGTTGATGGGGGTAATCCCTCCCGCAGAGCCATTGTGTTCTCCGTGTGGGGGGAGCCATTCCCGCAGGGAGAACACTCTGATTACTGCTAAGGGCCACTAGTGATAATTGCATGTAAAATACGACAGACTGGTTGTACCCCACCCCCTTCACTATTAATATACACTCGCCTTTTTATACTTTTCTTTTAATCTACCCTTTTTTACTTACTCAGTTTGCCTCCTGCCTCCATTCTCACCTAGGCAAGAATGACAACCCTGGGACCTAGAGGTCACACATCCCAGGAGGCTTTATTCTCTAATTCAAAGAATAATATGTAAACAAAGGCAGCACTAGATCTTATACATGCGCAGACAGGGATCTCCTGCAATGTCTGTTTATATAATGTTTTTTTACAAATAGAGGAAAGTAATGCATCCTGGGATATGTATTGTCAGTATCCCAGGAGGCATCACTTTCCTCCATTTATAGGACAATATGATAGACACTGCATTGGATCTCTGTCTACGCATGCGTGAGATCTACCTTTGTGTCAGACATTTGATATATTTATATTAGTAATGTGGTTTTCCTATTTAATAGTGTTTGAAAAAAGCAAAACCGTATATGTTGCCTGGAACGTCATGTATACCTTTGGAAAAATAAAAATATAGGAACCTTGACACACATTCAGTGTAATGTGCGTTTGATTTTTGCTGTGTCTGCTCAAATTAAACCTAATTCCTTGCTTATGTATAGGTGACTGGTGCACTTAAAATAAATGTCACTTAGCAGTGGGAAAATCGGTATTGTTTCTAAACCTTTTGCTTAATTCCTGACTTCTGGATAGACAGCAGCATGGATCTGGGAGATTATAACACTGCTCTGTTCTTTGATGCTGCACTTAACTAGTACCTTATTGCTGCACCCAGAGTTTTGTATTTTATGGAACATTAAAATGTACTATTACAATAAAAAAAAGTTATAGCAGTAACTGGTAGCTCATAGTACCTGGTATTCAGGCCCGATTTTCATTGCCATGGGCATGGGCATACAAGTTTTGGTCCATTGTGTAATAACTCCCTACTACTTTACTGCGTTTCCGTGTTGTCCCTGTTCTGTCCAAAGATGCCCCTGTGCTCCTTCATCCAGAGTGTAGGCACTCTAATACAGGATGTGTGTTACTGGCCAGATTGGAAAAAGCCTAAAAAATAACCCTAATGCAGCCACCACATCTAGTGATTGTAAGGTGCAATATATTATATTTTTGATTTGGGGTTTAATACCACTTTAGGCTTAGTGATTATTAGGATACACCCAATTAAAAAGAATAAAAAGACAGAAATAGCAGTGTTAGCATTGTTCTAGTCTATTCCTCAACAGGATCTTTTGGTCTACAGTTCTCTTCTGTTTGGATTGTCAAAAAGATACAGTTACATGGCCTTCCATGATCCATCTGAGTACCCCTAAAAATCAGTGCAGTTGAGCTGGTTATGTGCTGCCCAAATTAATGACTTGTGTCAGTGCATTGTACCTCCTAGGTATGGGGGGCATTACAAAAGCTTAACAAGACCCTATCACCTGACTCTATCAGGTTTTTTACACTTCCAATATGCCTTTGAACTTGCCAGAAAGTTTCACTTCTTGAAGAGTCTATTTCCTAGTGCAGCTCCTTTCTCCTTGTACAGAGATCCGCTGCTGAGCAGTATATAGCGGGTGGATGATACATCCGTGTCTGCTCAGTGTATGCAGAGCAGACATGTACAGAGCCCACTCTGCTCTATGGGTGACCAGGGGTAAACAGACTCCGCTGTCCGTTTACACTTGACTACTCTCTAATCTGATCCACCTAAACAAGAGAGGATGGATCCCCTTCAGTTTTTTTTTTTAGGGGACCGGATCACACTCGGAGGTAGGCGGGCATAAATGGACATAAATCCATTTACACCCCCCTGGCCATAGAGGTTAAGGGACCATCTGATCAGGTTCACCTGAAAAACTGACAGGTGGACCTGATTGGTTCCTCCATTTGAAAGGGGCTTAAATCTCTCTGTAATCCGTTTGTGAGTCGTTTCTGGTTGTAGTATAGTTTTTGCCTATTCAGCATTTCAGTGTGAGAGGTTAGTAAAGATAAAAAGTGTCTAAGAAGATATCACAACTCTGGGGTCTCAGGGAAGCTGCCGTTTCCTTCAAGGGTGCAACTTTTTATTTATACAAATAATAAAACCTGTTTCATCTCTATAAATTTACAAGAATTGTTAAATTACATAGCTGATGTGATTTATGTGATTCATATTGCAAACGAAGGCTTGTTTGCAACTCCTTTGCATATATGGCAAACCCATAGCTAGTGCTTGTATCCTGACTTATGATATGTAAAATGCCTGATAATGTGTATTGACCAATCCCTTCGCTTTGCTCCACCCTGCCCAGTTTTTTGGTTTGTTTGCCGAAGCCTCAGCTGTTAATGTCCTACCCTTTCAGTTTTAATTTAAAGATTGACAGTGTTATAAATGTGTGATGCATCTGTCATGGCTGGCTTCCTGTATAAGTAATTGTGAATGTTAATGGCCATGCTCTGTGTGTGTCAAATTAGCTCCAGAAATCCAGGATTCTGCTGTTCCACCCAGTGCTGGGGGATGGATGTCCGTAAAATGTTCCTGACAACCAATTTGTTTTGTCCAGATAATGGAGGTATCTTTCTATGTTCATCTAAATCGTGTCATATTTTACAGAAAACCATTCAGCCCCTCCAGACGTTACCACATACACCTCAGAGCACACCATACAAGTAGAAAGGCCACAGGGATCTACGTCACGGGTCACCTCGAAGTACGGCAATGCTGAACTTATGGAAACGGGCGATGGTGAGTACCTGTGAACTATTCTAGTCAGTATGTTTTAAAAGTCAGTGTTGTTTAAGATGGCATTTAACTGTACCTTCCCTCTCTCTGACCATAACCTGATTACCTTCTCTATCTCCTTGTCCTCCAACGCCTACCCCTCCAAATGTCACACTACTACCAGCCGTAACCTCCACAACCTTATCCCTGCCCCCCTCCAATCTGCAGCTGATCAACTCCACGACAGCATCCTCCCCCTGTCCTGCCCCGACTTGGCTATGACTGCCTACAACAACGCGCTGTCAGCAGCCCTTGACTCACTAGCGCCTTTAACCACACGCAACATCAGACCCCGACCGCTCCAGCCCTGGCAGACTGATCACACCAAAACCCTCAAACGACACATTCATGCCCTGGAGCGACTATGGCGCAAAACCAAATCCCAACAAGCCTTCACCCGCTACAAATCTGCCTTACACACCCCCTCCCTCAACGCAGCCAAACAAGCCTACTTCCTGACCCTCATCAAGGCCCTCTCCTCCAATCCTCGCCGACTCTTCTCCACCTTCAACTCTCTACTCTCGCCACCCCCACCTCCACCCAGCACCTCACTCACTGCCCTTGAGATTGCCAATCACTTCAAAAACAAGATTGACACAATTCGCAAGGACATCGCCGCAACTCACACACCCTCTCAACCCGTCCCCTCTCACACAGCTACCCCCCCCCTCATCCCCCCTCTCCCTCGACATAACCCGCAGGGACTTCTTCACTGCTCAAACTCCCTCCAACCCCGTTCCCCCTCACTCAGCTACCCTCTCATCACTCCTCTCGCATGGCCCCACCACTGCTCTGACCTTCACTTCCACCCCACCCTTCATTTCTCATACTGAAGTCCCCCAACACTTCACACCTTTGACCTTACTACCATCGAGGAAGTCTCCAAGATCCTCTCTGATGCCCCACCTCACCACCTGCCCCCTCGACCCTATCTCCTCACAACTCCTACGACCTCCCTCCCCCTCCATCCTACGCTCCCTCACCCACATCTTTAATCTCTCCCTCTCCTCTGGCACTTTCCCCTCCCCTCTGAAACATGCACACATCACCCCCATACTTAAAAAGCCCTCCCTGGACCCCAATGACCCGAACAACCTCAGACCCATCTCCCTGCTCCCATTTACATCCAAACTCCTCAAGCGCCTAGTCTACACCTGCCTATGCTCTCACCTCAACAACAACAACCTCCTCGACCCCCTACAGTCCGGCTTCCGTCCCCTACACTCCACCGAAACTGCCTTACTCAAACTTTCCAACGACCTGCTAACCGCCAAAGCTAATGGCCACTATTCACTGCTCCTACTCCTTGACCTCTCTGCGGCCTTCGACACAGTCGACCACCCCCTCCTCCTCAAAAAACTACACTCCCTCGGCCTCAGAGATTCTGCTCTCTCCTGGCTCTCATCCTACCTGTCACAATGCTCTTTCAGAGTTACCTATAATGCTACCACCTCCCCCTCTCTGTTGGGGTCCCTCAAGGCTCCGTCCTCGGGCCCCTTCTCTTCTCCATCTACACCTCCTCCCTTGGTCAACTCATACACTCTCACGGCTTCAACTACCACCTCTATGCCAACGACACACAAATCTATCTCTCAACCCCCACCTCACCCCCTCAGTCTCTGCCCGAATCACACACCTACTGAGCGACATATCTGACTGGATGTTGCTCCACTTCCTTAAACTGAACCTCTCCAAGACTGAGTTTCTTGTCTTCCCCCCAGCCCGGACACCACCCCCTATTGACTTCTCCATCATGTCCAACAACGCCACTATCAAACACGCCCTACAGGCCAGAGTACTTGGTGTCATTCTGGACTCAAACCTATCCTTCCAGCCCCAAGTCCAATCTTTAACAAGCTCGTGCAGACTCCACCTCCGCAACATCGCCAAAATCCGCACGTTCCTAACCCCAGAAACCACTAAACAGCTCATCCACTCCCTTATCATATCACGACTCGATTACTGCAACTCCCTCCTTTCTGGCTTGCCTCGCCGCTGGCTATCCCCGTTTGCAGTCGATCCTGAATACGGCAGCCAGACTCATTCACCTTTCCAACCGCTCCATCTCCGCCACCCCCCTCTGCCAATCCCTCCACTGGCTTCGATTGCGCAACGAATCAAATTAAAAATCCTAACACTGATGTACAAAGCCGTCCACCACACTGCCCCGAACTACATCACTGACCTAATATCCAAGTACCACCCAGCACGCACACTCCGCTCCTCACAAGACCTCCTTCTCTCTAGTTCCCTGGTCTCCTCCTCCCATGCCCGCCTCCAGGACTTCTCCAGGGTGTCCCCCATCCTCTGGAACTCCCTGCCCCAACCCATCAGATTATCACCTACTCTCCTCTCCTTTAGGCGCACCCTGAAAACCCATCTCTTCAGGGAAGCCTACCCCACCCCCTGCTAACTTGCCGACCTCCTCCACTCTTCCTACCACTCCATCCCCCACAGCTATCTCCTCCTGTGCCACCATCCCCTCCCTCCTAGATTGTAAGCTCGAAAGACCAGGGCCCTCAATCCCCTAATGTTTTGCATTGTATTGTTATTGTTCTGTCACATGTTCTGTCCCCCTTTGTAATGTACAGCGCTGAGCGAACTATTGGCGCTTTATAAATACTGTATAATAAATAATAAAAATACCTGAGCACCACAAACTGAAAAACTATCTAATTCATTTTTAATTTTTCAAAGCATGCTGTCATATAGTGTGTACTTGCCTCAGTCCATAGCACTTTGTGTGGATCCTGTCTGCTCTCTCCTTCTTCTATCTGCATGAGTCACTTCTGACAGTTTTTTCTTAAGAGGGCTCAGCCTCCCACTAACACACAGCAGATGATTGACAGCCTCAGTGGTGCATGTTTCCCTGAGAGACTATGTAGAGATGGGTGTATCCTTTTCCCCACTCAGGTCCCAGATTACACTCAGCTCTGTGCTGTTCAGTATGTGACATCAGATCCCAGCCCCCTGCCTCCTGGAAGCTGAGAAATACCATCTAAACAGTGTATTTTGAAAATGTGTAGAGAAGAGAAGGCTGAAGATAAACAGGTACAGCCTATGTAGGAGGATTTAAATCATCACTGTGTATCACCTGAGGCTCGTGACTTTGATGGGCGTATGAAAAGGTTTAATTTAAACTTAATGTGATATTAAATATTTACATTTTGTATATCCTCCACTTGCCGACTGCGCACTGTAGTTTTACTGCTACAGTGCGGGCTGGCTGAGCAGAATCGCATATATATATATATATATATATATATATATATATATATATATATATACGTGATTTTGCATTTTCGGGTAGGGGGCGTGCACGCACCTGTGCTGTCACTAACTCCAGCACATGCTTATCACCAGGTCTTCTCTACAGTATTACATGAGTGTGCAATTGTCAGTTAAAGTAGCACTATGCCGATTAGCAAAATATAGCCTGGTCATTAGGGGGTAAAATCTTCCAGAGGTCAACCCTTACGTATACCCAGTGAAGTGAATGGCCTCAGGCGCTACACAGAGGTGAAACAAATCCTCCTAAATAAGTTGTACCTATCTATCTGCAGTCTTTTCTCTTCTGTACAGCTGTTCAGTGTGCTGAATTTCTGAAGCTTGTCTAAGAATTCAGAAAAAATGGGGGGGGGGGGGGTTAAGAGTTGAATTTACACTCTGCAGAGGGGAGCTCTAATAGCTGATTGGAGGGAAGGGACACACCCCCTACCCTCAAACAGCTTACAGAAACAGAGCTGAGGCTGTCAATCTACTGGAGGTTCCTCCCCTGTCACCTTTTTTTTTCTCCTGGTGTCAGGAAAACTTGTCAGAAGGGACTTTGGTGGATAGTAGAGGAACAAGGCAGCAGACAGAAATGACACTTAGTGTTCTTAATTGAGATAAGTACACACTATAGAGGGATATGCTTTGTTCATATTTCATGTCTGAGGCTTACAACCACTTGAACCCACAGTGGGGAGAGTTAATTAGAGATATGAAAGCCAGTGGATGAATAAATGAGGTCCATCCAGTGTTGAAATATTAGCTGAAGGTTAACTGTAATTAAAAATGTGTAAATTCTTTTCATCTTAGAAGTGAATCAAAAAGTACTGATATTTTAGTTAGCCCTGAGGCTACCTTTCACTAGGCAGAGAGAAACGTTCCCATCTGTGTTCATAATCCGAAGCACTTATAACCCCCAATAAGTTCACAAACTGCCCAATCCCAAGCACTGCTCAAACTGAACAGTGATTATTGAGCATTTGGATCATACAGTACCTACATGTCAACTGCCCTCCTATGTAGAATCTGCTGTGTTCTTACTTGTCCTAATTATGAACTTTAGCCAAAGTCATGAGTGATTTGAAAGGCGAGCTGGATCTGAGTGAACAAATTTCAGTCCACTGTATTTGAGATGAAGTTCATTTTGAGAGCAGTGAATATTAATTAATACTTGCTGTATTCCAGAGGCCTGCAATTTCTCTACTTCCACATTAATGAGTATCGCCTCTGGCATTGTGGCTTACTAATTGTATGTGCATTAAACCTCTGCTGGTAGATCACTGAAGCATTCCAGTTATCAGTGCATCTAACAAGCCTGGTAGCTTTAGTTTAAAGGGAACCTGTCTTGAACTGGGCATGTGATGAAATAATGTATACAGCAGAGATTACACTCAGCAGATTCAGAGAAGTATGGTATCCTTTATAATTTTATGCAAATGTTTACTGCTTTAAAAAGTTGAGATGGCCCTTTCTCTTTCTGAGCCTGTCTGTTGGTCATTTGATCAGATGGGTAGAATTGCTGACCAATAAAGAGACTCAGAAGGTAGGAAAGGGCTGGGTCAATATTTTTTTTACATTTTGTACATTTATCATTGTGGCTTCCACTGAATAAAATGCTGCTTATAAATCATTAAATTATATTCAGACTTATGCCTATTTAGCTTTAACAGTAGTTGCACAGCCACAAGTTATGATGCCTGGAGACCAACAGTAGTAATGTGCTTGAAAGGACCTTTATTGTGGAAATATTCATGATTTTCAATATGCAGTAAAACAATGGCAGCACAGTGGCTAGCAGTACTTGGGTCGTTGGTTCGAATCCCAACCATGGCACCACCTGCCTGGAGTTTGCATGTTCTCCCTGTGCCTGCATGGGTTTTCACTGGGTACTCTGGTTTCCTCCCACATTCCAAAGACATGCTGGTTAATTGGCTCCTGACTAAATTAGCCCTAGTACATGTATGCATTAATGTGAGTTGGGAACCTTCGATTTGTAAGCTCCTTGAGGGTAGGGACTGATGTACTTGTGCAATATATGTAAAGCGCTGCGTAAATTTACAGCGCTATATAAGTACCTATAAAAAAAAAAAATAAATAAAACATGAATTAAAAAAAGATGCATGCAATGATCGACATTGATTTTTTTATTTCTCTAGTATTTACAATAACAATCTGTATATAATGCTGGAGAACCTTCAGTTAAGTCATTCTCATCCCAAAGGATCTCCCAATCTGATAATCTTACCGCACATAGACATATACTCTAGAGATATCCTGACATTGTGTTATTAGATTGTGGGCTGTAATCAAAGCACTTGGAGGAAACACACGCAAACAGTGAGGCTATGCAAACTCCATGAAATAGGCTGGGTAGGAATAGAGCCCAGGACCCAGTGCTGAGTTATTTCAGTACTGTCATTTACATATGTGTATTCTGTGCCTTTTAAGACTTGTAAATATATGGGGAGGAAGGTACCACATACGAAAAAGAATGCCCGCTTCAAAGTGGAGAAAGAGCATGATAGTAATGGAATTAGCTTACAGTGGCCCTTTCCTGAAGACTGCCATTGTTGGTCTTCTAAAAAAATACTTGGTGCCTGGCTGTGTCTTACTTGAAAAAATGTAAAAAAATTTTTAGTAAGGGGCCAAAACATGCTTCCTGAAATGCATCAGCAAGGTGACGAGCATTTCAGAATACATGATTAGCAACGATAGTCTTCAAAATTTCCCATGACAGGTTTTATTTAAGTAAATTATTATGTTCCACAAATTTAAGACCAAATGGGGTTTGTTCATTTTGGATAGAATAGGAAATATTTAACCCTCCCTCAGGTTTTTATTATTTTCTGTGTCTCCAATGGTTTTTTTTTGTCCTTCTAACCATCATCACTCACACAGAAAGTAATGAAAGATCCAACATTTTACAGCTGACACTGGAACATAGACGTAAGAGGAAATCTTCCAATATGGATACCTGTTTCAGTGACAGCTATCTAAGATGTTTTTTTTTATTCTTTATTTAGTATTCAGGGAAGTATGATAATCTACAAATGAGTAGTACATAAAGTAGCCAACATAACACATGGGTGAAAAAAGGGGGTACGTGATGTAGCCCGTGTAGTTACTGCTTATGATGTCTATGGACTATTGACATTCAGCAATAAAAGTTTAATTCCAAGATTTTTTTTTAAGCATTTTGCATACATAAAGATAATCCTTATAACAAATAAACTTCAGAAAAAGAGTAATAGAAAGATGTAGCAGTAGAATAGAAGAAAGAAGAACCAGAAGAGAATAAGCCAGATAAGATGGGTTTTCACTTCATTTTAGGCACATTGTTTCTTCTACTTCCTGGTGTATCTCTGAGAGAAAGTGAAGAAAATCTCCCCAATGGGACAAATAAAGGTTTTGGCTTTACTTACATGTTAAATCTCGGTCTGTTATATTGCCCTATTATAATTGTTTTTGTATTATTGCACCACATGAGCTTACATTAGTTGTTAAGCTGCACCTCCGTAATGCTCAGATATTAATGCCAGTGGTCTTCTGTCATCTGCCAGTGTTAGTTCTCCATAGAGTTATCTTATGATATTTGTTATTTTTGTTCCTGCAGGCGTTCCTGTAAGCAGTAGAGTGTCTGCAAAAATCCAGCAACTTGTCAACACCTTAAAAAGGCCAAAGAGGCCTCCTTTACGAGAATTCTTTGTAGATGATTTTGAGGAATTATTGGAAGGTAAGCAAAAAACTAATGTTATTCCTAGTGGGAGTTGTTCTTAATGCTGCTTGTACACCCAACATATTTAGTTCCTTCAGAAAGATGTACAATATATCTTAATTTTTGTTGAAAAGTTGCTGCAGGTATGACTCTTACCAGTTAAAGTGGAGTTCCACCAAAAGGGGAAGTTCTGCTTTAAAGATTGCTCCCCCGCTCCCCATTAAGGATTGGCACCTTTGGGGAGCATGGGGGGGGAATTTGACCGGTACCCACTCCCACTTCTGCTGCAATCGCCTAGGCAATCAGAAATGGAAGTTGTCCTCCTACCTTCCCTCCCCGAAGTCTTGTGGGACACGTGACAGGTCCCAGAAGGCGACGGGGCCATTCAGGACGTGCAGCACTACTCGCGCATGCGCAGTGGGCAGCCGGCGGTGAAGCGCAAGCTGTCATAGCCGGGTGCCCACACTGAAGATGCCGGTGCCTGGAATAGAGGACGGCCGGTGAAACGGGCTGCGGTGGGGCAACGTGGGATCGTGGGACAGGGGAGTGGCTGTTTTTTAAAAGTCAGCAGCTACTGTTTTTGTAGCTGCTGACTTAATTTTTTACAGAGTGATTGGAACTCCGCTTTAAGATGTTGTTAGACATATGGCTGAGCACTTTTTTTTATGGAAACAACAGGAACAGAGAGACTGGAAATTACATCATAACTACGTAGTTACGAAAGAGAAAACATTACATTTCACAAACATTAAACACTACCATCTAGTGACAGAACATCGAACGTAGAATATACAGTAAGAGATTAGTGGTTGCACCGTTATCTGTTTAAACAGTATGCTAAAACCTCCACTCAACAACTACTTCTAATATAAATCCCATCTTCTTTTGGAGTTCTGGGTTACCATTTGAAGATAATCAATGTGCATTCTTTAGAATGTTTTTGGTTACTGCGTTTCATTTGTTACATTTGTAATTTTATTTCCCATGCAAGCGGTCCCTAGGTTATGAACCAGATAGGTTCTGTAGGTTTGTTCTTAAGTTGAATTTGTATGTAGGTTGGGGCAGTTACAAGTGTAACTCCAGTCAAAAAACGATTTAAGTTTTGGATAGTATAGGGAAGGGTTAACTGGCCATGCAGTGATGTGGGATTGTTAACATGTCTGACAGACAGTAGGTGGCAGCATACAGTGAGCAACAAGATGGCTGCCCGGCGGTTTCCAGGATCAGCGTGACATCAAGCTGCCTCGTTTCTTAAGTATGAGTCGTATGTAAGTTGGATGTTTGTAATTCAAGGACTGCTTGTATTTATATGCTGCCAGCATACCACGCAATGCTATACAGCATTCCTCAACCTTTTTTCAGTCAAGGAACCCTTTAAAATTCAGCACAATCTCCAGGCATCCCATTCTAAATTGTAAAAAGCTAAACTAATAAAGGTGATTTATTCTTACAAAGTAAATAAACCTTTGCACGCTGGTAACCACTGGTATTCCATCTTTTTTTCTCCTCCCTCACTTTCTTAATTCTTAACCTGACCCCAATGCTGACAAAGAAGGGCAGGCAAAGGGGCAAACAAGGTCATCCACAGGCGCCTAACCTCTCTCCTATCAACCTGTGGTATCATTTGTTGCTAGGATGCTGGCAGCTGACGTGCATGGTTCCCAAAGTTGTAATTCTGCACAATAAAAACCTGAGGCTTTGTGAAACAAAAAATACAAAGACTTGATCCTACTGCCGGCTTGTTGACAATTTGTGGGTAGTTTGAAGCAATTTATAGGTATTTTGCCAATTCACCCCAAAAGGCACCCCATGGTACCTCAGAAGCCTGGTTGAAAAGGCTGTCATACAGAGAATTGCTTACAACATTTCCTTATATATATTAGCATACATTGTCATGTCCCTTGCACAGTTACACATGCACTCATATGTTTTAGGGCCATTTAGGCTGAGGTCCTTTAAGAACCTCTGTATAAAGCTTACAGTATATGCTTTGTTTAAAGAAGAGCTTCCAAATGCCCTGCCGTTGTGGTCCTAGTCAGGATTGGTGCTTGCTCCTAGGTCCTGACCCTCACAATCCTAACTACTGCTTCGTACTGCTACTGTGTGGTAGAAACACTTTTCTTCATTCTTGTGAGCTTACTTGGTTAATCATATACCTAACCTGTCAATGCAGTTTTTACGCTTTCCTCTGGTAATGGGAACCTTTGGGATGCAAGCTCCTTGGAATACATTTAAATGAGCTTATGTAAATGTAATGTTTGCACTAATAGCCCTCTAGTCTTGGGTTTTGCATCTCTTGAGAAGCCTCAATGTGTTTTTAGGAGACCTAGAAGTTTTTTTTTTTTACCGTAATAAATTAATTTCTCCTCCTATCTGAGCAGATACCCAATTATGGGTATGCGAGGAAGATATTTTTTTTCCCATTTGCCTGAAAACAAACTATTTTGAAATCAGGCTATCATATCAGTGGTACAAATACCACAATACATACAAACATACCTAATACTTTAATTTAGAAAGCTAATGAAAAGTCTTTATTTGTGGAACAAATTATAGGCAGATATCTAAATCACTGACAGACTCCTGGCAAGTTTTTTTTTCTATTGCACAAAGCAAAATGCATGCTTCTTCGTGTCCCCTGTCACTGATACTTCTGGCTACATGTTTCTGTGTGGTCATTACATTCAACATCTCCAATTTGTGTTGTGTTCCTTTGTCCAGTTTGAATTAAGTAGACCCTTAATTATTGATACTATTATATGCACATGGTAGAGAAATCGATATAGCAGGACTTTTCTTTTGCTGAGAATAGGTGCAGGAACCCCCCCCCCTTCTGAGTCACCCCTTGTTTCTGTTCCACTACCCACCTCCGAGCACAGTCCCCCGGTTCCTACCCCTACACCTCCCCGTACTGCTCCTTTTAGAGAATACAGATCCAAGTATCATTTTGTATGGAATTTCTTAATGATTACAAGAAAAGCAGTAAAATAGATCCCCTGCTGCCGGCAACAAAATCCCCTCCCCCCAGTAACAGTAGATCCTACCAGCAACAACTGAGCCCTGCAACAAAATACCACCCCAGCAACAACAGATCCCCAGTAGCAATAACATATCTTCCCCTAACAGTAGATCCATTTCAGCAACAATTGACCTCCAAGCAATAATAGATCCCTCTCCAGCAACTATAGACTACTATGCAAAAATAGTGACAATAGATCCTTGTCATTACATACATTCAGGGCTGGAGGTGCCGGAAAAATGCATTCCCACTGAAAAAAAGCCCTGTGAGAAAGTATAATCTATTTCGTATTATGTATTACATAACTAGACATAGGTAAAAGGAAACACCGGTGTGTAGAATTACACATAGTCCTGGTATGTCGAACTTAATATACACTGTGCACCTGACTTTCCTAGAATTGGAATGCCGCCATGAATCCACTAACTGAATGTGATCGGTTTTTCAGTATTAATTCAAGCAGAAGTGCTGGAGATGCCCGGAGCCAATAAATAATAATCTGTATCTGGCAGAACATTAATATCATAATAATCATCTTCTCTACCCCTAGTTTAACTTAATTACATAGCAGGAATAAACACGGCAGTAGCTCTGAAGTAATATAAGGTCTATTACCACAGTTGATATGTTACTAGGCTTGAATAAGAATCTAATATCCAACATTTATTTTCTGTTTTGATATAGTATTACAAATAAATTAGAAATAACACTGCAAATTTGCTTGGGATTCAAACAGACCTATCATTAAAATTCACGAATTGATTGAATCAGCTAGACATATGTCAATATTGCCAAGTTCCTTGCTGGCTATCAATAAAACTGCTGCTCCTGAGCATCACTATATAATCTAAAGCCTAAGTAAAATGGCATGATCCATGACAACCAGGACCATTGTGAGCATGTGGCATCATTAGACACTGCAAAGTCTATTGTGTTTCAGTGGGTGATAGCCTGTCTGGTAGACTTAGTGAGATAGGAAGATCAGCAGCCAATGAACACATACTGAGTAGACTAATTTAAAACTAATCTCCAGGCTGGTAAAAGACCAGTTCATTTGAAAAGAAATCATTCGATCTATTTTTAAAAGCAAATAGTGTGTGTATATGAATTTGACACAGTCACCCTCTTGCACTTCCCTGAAAAACAGAGCTCAGATTGTATAAAGAAATCTGTCCAATAGGAGGAGAAATCGAGGGTTGACTTCATCTGTCAGCTGCTTCTTCTTTACTGTCCAGTTGCAGGCAGGGGCAAGACCAGTCATATTTCTTAACTGTATAAGAGAAAGGGTTTTCTGCATAGTGTTCAGCTTTTAAGCTTGTAAGGGGGTTTGTGATTGGCTGATGGTTGGTGCCAAATAACCCAAGCTGCTGCCCCACCTCTTCTTAGATAGGGCAGGGACCCACCTGCTGGTAGTTTGCCTTTGTGATATTGTGTCTCACTCCTTGCCAGAGGCCTTCCCACAACATTCCTGGCCATTAGCCTTTATGTTCTCAAAAAAGGAATGTCCACACCAAGATTCAAGTTTCTGCACTTTACTGACTGCAAACTGCATGTCACCGCTAAGCCACCTTCCCTTAAGGCTGGTACACGTGGGCCAAATATTGTCTGGTATCGGCCAGTTCAACATGAACCAGCCAACATTTGGCCAGTATGTACAGCAGCCTGTTTGACAGAAGGCAGTCTAACATTGGCTTCTGTCAAATGGGCATGCTGGAAAACCAGCATCCGATCAGCGCTGGCAGCCAATGGCCAATGGCTGCCAGCACCGATCTGTGTGTTCTGGAAGGGGTTGCAGTCCCCCTGTCAGAACACAAGAGCTCAGTGGGGGAGATTGCTGCACTAACATTATATAATTAGTTGTACGAAACAAAAAATTTTCATGAGTACCTAGTATTAGCAACTCTCTCTCTTCACCAGGGTCATTCGTACTCACTCTGAGGTTTATGACTTGCCCATTAGGCTTTTTGCATCCAGCTCATGACTCCCTTCATGTTGTTCCAGATGCAGGACTGCTGCAGCTACTCCTCTAGTGTCTATACATGTTCTTCTACTAAAGTGCTCTAGTCAAGACAAAATGTTTTTCTTCATTATTTTTGTATGTAATCTTATAAATTTGCTGTCGGTAGGTGTGTAGTATTGATGTGGATATATTCAATGTTGAAAAGCTTTGCATTGCACTAGAAATAATGGATATCTGTGGCTACTGTCTGCATAGATGAACCGCTTCTTTTGGTGCCCTTGTAAGCCAAAAACTCTGAAATTAATTGTACAATGTGCTTATTATTGAATGTATTGTTTATCTGTAAACATATTGCTGTATGAGAGTTTTACTCTTTTAGGGTCACGTCACACTGATAATTCTGCTGCTGGTGTCACCTCAGCAAAAGCAGAATCATTAAAATGCCACTCTTCCTAATGGAAGTCACTGTCTTACTGGCTGGAACACTTCAGTATTGAATTTGTTAGCTATATAACAGTATAGAGTGTCACCTTCTTGGTTCAGACAGCTGGGGAGTGACTTTATTGGAGAAGATGAGTGAAGTTTTGGCAAAGCCCTAGTGTGACAGAAGTCTAACACTTAGAACATTTAAGGTGTTTCACTTGGATAAAGCTGAAGTGCTCATTAGGTGTAGGTATGTGGATACTTTTACTACTAATAATACTAATGTGTCCTCTTCCTTATTTTCCAAGTGCAACAGCCTGATCCAAACCAGCCAAAACCAGAAGGAGCACAGATGTTAGCCATGAGAGGGGAACAGCTAGGTGTAGTCACTAACTGGCCTCCTTCATTGGAAGCAGCGCTGCAGAGATGGGGAACCATATCGCCTAAAGCGCCCTGCCTTACCACTATGGACACAAATGGAAAACCACTGTACATTTTAACATATGGTAAGAAATTATGTTTTCTGCTTTTCTGCATGTATAAAACACGGTTTGGCCAATGGTGCAGACTACGCCCTGCTATGCCATTGAAGGGTTAGTCCTCCAAAAGCTCATATTTCAGTTTTCGGTAGATTCCGATAAGTTAAACATTCTTATGTTTTCTCATGGCTCCCAAACACTCCAGTAGTGACAACACTTTGCTCCCTGTCCTGGACGTGTACTGTGTACAAAATCAGGGGGTTCAGACTTTTTCACTGTGGAGAACTGCTGCTTTGTTGGATATACAAGATTACCTTTTTAGGTATCTGCTGAAACAAATAAAAACAAATTATCAGATTGCTTTAACAGGTCCTTCGATCCACTGGAGGACCACCTTGTGTTATAAGAATATTCAAAAAGTGTGCCTACAGTTGTCAAATGACCCAATGACCAGAATACAGTGATGATGAGAGATTTGGTTTGCCTGAATCATGACCTGATCTGGATAAGGCTGTGTATTGTCAGTTTTCTATGTGTATTGTCAGTTTTCTGCTGGGTGACCTGGTATAGGGATCCACTTTCTCATTTCTGTTAGACAATCCTAACTCTGTGAGCTTTGGTCAACAAGGGATTTGCCATATGTAAAGTGACGGCGTGGATTGTATCATCATGACACTATTATCCATATTTCAGCTAGACCACAACTGGGCTTGCTTGAACTAAACTGCCCGAGTTTGATTGTCCCTCTCCACTCCCCTGCTGATCTGCATTCATACTGGGCTATCAGAAAGTGTTTCTAGGCACACTTACATCATCACCTCTGGACGACAGTGATCCCTGCTTCTGTGGCCAGTGATCTATGGAGAGGAGTTTGTTCATGCATGGTCTAAACTCGCACTGAAATGAACTGTACTGGACCATCTTCCAAATTGTCCTTAGCACTGTGCAATTAACTGTTCTTGGGCATGATTTGGAGCACTCGCTACACAAACTAACTGGTTCAAGGGGGGGTGAACTGTGCCCAGGCACAGTTAAACCTGCTAGTGTGAGTAAACCCTTAGTGTGGGTTCAGATATGAACTGCTAAGGAGTCCAAATGGCTCTTTTTATCCCATCTATGCCATTAGCAAATGATCACATTATAAGGCTGGGGTTTCTGAATACACAAACTGCACTGTACAATGTTAGATAGAATTTCTAGCATCCATCAATGTTTCCTTCCCATCTTCCCTTCCCTTCTTAATGCACTAATTATTAAGGACAACAATTTGAGACATGAGAAAATCATTTAGGTATGTGTTCTAATCTACAGGCTATACAGGCTAGGGCACTTTGTGTGCCCATCAGATTGTTCTATATCTTTCTTTGTACTGATTTAGGAAGGGTGACAAAAAAAAACCCCACAAAAATGACTAATTAGCGTGTATATAATATGTACACATTGTTAATAATTCTAATGGTTTTCCTCCATAAACGGAATTGGCCACAACTGATTTAGACTTGCCCTCTGGCTTAGTTGTGCTTGTTTTCATGATGCTTTCAGGCTTTATGCCAGAGCTGAGAGACCCCCTGAAGTCTGATAGTCTGTGTTGATGATTGATCACTCTCATCACACTGATAATACACTGGATCCCAGCTCCTGAGAGTGTTTGTGTTAATCACCTTCTGAAAGTGCTGGCCATTTGGATGTACTTGGTCAGTCAGAAGCAGGAGAAAATCTCCTGATCAGGAAAGTCAGGGAAAAGTCAGGACTCCTAATCTGTATTTTCAGGAGGGTCTTCAAGGGTAGCCTTCCTTCTGCTGTAAGACCACAGGGAGCCTCTCAGCATTGACTTTCAGTCTAAAAGTCGTCTTCCTGTTTATATAAAACTTAAGGGGGCAAACATTTTATTCCAAAAGTAAGGTTGTACAAATTTTAGTAATTTCAGACTACTGTATCTTGTTCTTTTTCATCTTCAGCTCAGGTCTTGTTGGATTCATTTGTTGACTGATCAGTTATAATGCTAGTATTCTTGCTGTGTAAATAGACCTGTATGGGCAGCTGCCATGCTTTTCGATGTCTAGCCTCTTACATATCCCCCTGACAATATTCTTTTAGTATGTCTCTCTGGTACTACACATTTAAATAACTGCTTAAGCAGCTGCTTAGGAATTAAGAGCCAAAGTGGATTTGTGTTGGGAACATGGACTGTCAGTGGTCTGAATCAAAGTAAAACTTCCTTATTTATGGTGAAAGCTTCCTTTCTCGTGTGCTTCCAGTTCAAAGCAGCTCTTGTTAAGTAGTATGCGTCCCCTTGGTATTAATGTTAATGATTTATCCCACAGTAGGGGCTTGCTTATTAATGTAGTCTGTATATGTTTTAGGTTGCTGAAATATTTTAGAATGTTTTCAGAAGGCAAATTGGATGGAAAAGGGTGTGATGTGGGTTAATGCTGAATTAGCTTTATTTTATTGCTTTTAATGTTTACACAAGGTTTTCTTTTTACTGGTTTTTGTAATGTATTTTACAGAGAAACATTTAATAGCTTATTGGTGTAAAATTACTTGCTCAGGTCTACTGCAATGTGTGAGCAAACTACATAGCTGTAACTTCGCTGCGGCAGATTTTAATGCTAAGCAATATTCTTTAGATATGACGGGTCTGTGTAAATTTTCACTTGTGAGTTCATTTTTAAAAATATGCTTTCTAGTTATTGATTTAAAGTTGTCCTTTACTCAAAGGTGAAAGTACCACTCATCCGCCACACTCCTAACACAATTGAAGTGTTTCTTTTCCATGGAGCGGGTACTTTTTTGACAGATACCGGCTCCCACTTCCTTAATTCTTGCCTAGGCGAGAATGATGTCAACCTGGGGCACTCCCCACCCCAACCTTTGCAGCCTCTTGGGCACATCACATGTCCCTCTGAGACTAGTCTCACAGTGCTGCTATACCTTGTGCATGCCCAGTGCGTGGCAGGCTTTGAGATATAATGATGTTGCAGCTGGTTTCCACATCCAAAATGGCAGCACCAGAGACTACCAATCAGCTATAACATTATGACCACCTACCTAATATTGAGTAGGTCCCCCTTTTGCCACAAAAACAGCCCAGATCCATCAAGGTGTGGACTCCACTAGACCCCTGAAGGTATGCTGTGTTGTCTAGCACCAAGCCATCAGTAGCAGATCCTTTAAGTCCTTTAAGTTGCCAGGTGGGGCCTTCATATATCAGACTTTTTTTCCAGCACATCCCACAGATGCTTGATTGGATTGAGATGTGGAGGATTTAGTAGCCAAGTCAACACCTCAAACTCTTTGTTGTTTCTCAAACGATTATTCAACCATTTTTGCAGTGTGGCAAGGAGTATTATCCTGATGAAACAGGCCTTGCCATCAGGGAATACCATTTCCATGGTCAGCAGCAATGTTTATGTAGGTGGTTTATAGCAAAGTAACATCCACATGAATGGTAGGACCCAAAGTTTCCCAGCAGAACATTGCCCACATCATCATACTGCCTCCGTCAGCTTTCCATCTCCCCAGTTAAGTGATGCACATGCACCCAGCCATTCACTTGATGTAAGAAAATGTGATTCATCAGATCAGGCCACCTGCTTTCATTGCTCGTTGGTCTAGCTCTGATGTTCACATTCCCAATATATGTGCTATTTGCTGTATACACAGGCCAGCATGGGCACTCTGACCAGCCTGCCGTTACACTGCCTCATACCCAACAAACAGTGTGCACCAATGAGTATTGGCCATCCATGACCCTGTTGCTAGTTTGTGGGTTTTCCTTCCTTGTATCGCTATTGGTGGCTATCCTGACCACTGCAGACCGAGAAATTCCCGCAAGTGCTGCAGGTTTGGAGTTGCTCTGACGGAGTTATCTAGGTATTACAATTTGGCCCTCGACAAAGCACCTTTAAAACATTATGCTTGCCCATTTTTTCTGTTTTTAACACACTAACTTCAGGGACAACATGTTTACTCGCTGCCTAATATTTCCTACCCACTTTAAAGTGCCATTGTAATGAGATAACATTATGACCACTGATAGGTAAAGTGAGTAACAATGATTATATCTGATCAGTGTGTACTTTTATGAAATACAAAAACAGCTTTCAACCATTGTGGTGATCAACTTAACCTGAAAGTAAGTTAGCCAACACTTAACAGGACAGAAAGTGAGGAGAACATCTCTGTAACAGAAACATGTGTATTATTATTTTTTTAATTGGGAGGGTGGGGTGGCAAGAACCTCTATGAGCCTTTTATTTCTGTCGGATTCCTCACAAGAGATTTCCCCTTACTCAATGGCAACTTGAAACAAGACCTTTCCTTAGGCCCCATGTACGCGGGACTTTCTCTGAACGATGGAAACTGACTCTCTGGACATAGGTTAAAAAATGTCTGTTTAGCCGCGTTTGCATAACACGTTTGTGTGTTTGCATTTAGAAGCATTTTGTAAAGATAAGCACAGGAGAACCTCCCAAATGCCCATAATGCACTGAAAAGTGGTAAATTATTAACTATTTCAGACTGTTTCGTAGAAATAGAGAGAGTAGAAGCAGAGACGGCAGTATGTGTTGGGATTAGTTTAGGTGTGAGTTGCTCATTAACATTTCTTTTGTTTCCAAGGGGGGGAAAGGTGTCTGGTTCGAGTGAGTCATTAAGGCCACTGGTCAGGGGATCTTCATGAGGAATTTGAGGTGTGAATGGTCATTAACATATCTTTTGTTTCCAAGGGTGGAAGAGGTCTGAGGTGTGAATTGGTCATTACAATGTGTGACATTCTTGGTAGGAACATCCTGTTTTCAGTGTTTTGTCCATCTGAGTACCTTGAAAATGCTTTGCATGTATTTTTCATGATGATTGAAAAAAAGGCTCTGGACAGCATCAGGAACTGGAGAGTTTAAAAAAAAAATTTCAGATGCAAACGCTTATAAATGTGATTTGCCGTGTTTACAAGCATTTTGCGTTTGAAACGCTGACAAAATCGACTGCTGAATGCAAGTTTTCTGCGTTCAAAAAAAGACTGTAAA